CTCGACGAGGGGCACGAGTGGGTCGGCCGGCAGGTGCTGCGCGTCTTCCCCGAGGCGGCCAACCCGCAGTCGCTCGGCAAGATCACCCGCTGGCTCCCGCCCAACGAGGAGACGAGCGAGGGTGCCGCCCGCCGCGCGCACGCGCCCCGCCCCGCCCGCCGAGGACCCGGCCTCGCGCCTCCCGCCGCGGGCCGCAGGCGCACTCTTCCACGTCGTGCACGACGACGGCGACGCGGAGGACCTCGAGCTCGGCGAGGCGGAGGCTGCGCTCGAGGCGTTTGCGCAGAAGGAGCGGGACGAGCTGCTGCACCCTCCCGTGCTCGCGCAGCCGCATTACGAAAACAGGCTGGAGCGCAAGGCGCTGCGGATCAAGCCGTCGGCGCTCGGGCTGGCGGGCGCGCGCGACGAGCTGCTCGATTTCGAGGAGTGGCTCGCGCCGCTGCTCGGCAGGCTCGGCACCGGCTGGGTGGCGGCGGGCCGCAAAGACGAGGGCGCGCAGGAGGTGTGGCAGCTCTCGTGCCGCGCAGCCACCACGGTCAACGAGCTCGCCGAGCTGCTCGGCACGCTCGAGGAGGCGGTGCACGCGCTGCAGACGGCGGCGGCCCCGAACGAGCGAAAGCCGTGGCGCAAGGAGGGCCACGAGTACGTCGGGCAGCAGGCGCGCCGCTTCTTTGCCGGGTTTGGCGCCTCGGACGGGCGCATCTCTGGCTGGCTTCCGGCCGAGGGGAGCGACCCGCCTCTGTGGCACATGGTCCACGGGGACGACAACGACGAGGAGGACCTCGACGAGACGGAGGTGCGCTTCGCCATCGCAAACTACGCCGAGGAGCGCAACGAGCCGACGCCGGAGGAGGCCGAGTACAACCTGGCCTGGCGCACGGCCGCCGAGGCAGAGGCGGCGGCCGCGGCCAAGGCGGCCTCCGAGGGCGGCGGCGGCGCGGCCGGCGTGGGCGGCGGCAGCTTTGCCGTGGGCAGCCGCTCGCGGTCCGCGCACCGGCTCTGGCAGTCGGTCGAGAGCCGCGAGCGGTGGCGCGCGGCGCTGCGGCAGCCTCACAGCCCCGCGGTGGTCGCGCTCGCCATCAAGGCGCTGCGGGACCACTGCGAGCACTTTGGCGCGCTCGGCTACCACCCGCCGCGAGGCAAGGAGGGCGCGGCGGCGGAGCGCGACCTCGCCTACTCGGCGTGGGTGCACGCCGGCGCCTTCAAGTCGGACAAGCAGAAGAAGAAGAAGCACTGACGGCGGCACCGGCAAACGCGCATTGTGATGCGACTTTTACGTGGCGGAAGCTTCTGCCGTGCTGCATACGGTGTTCGATGGATCGTAAGGCGGGGCGCGCGCCTCTTTTGTTGACGCGTCGTGTGTGCAGCGTACGGAACAAATGTGTGGAGACTCGCAGCCCCCCAGCGCCAACACAACTCAACTCAACACACATGAACATTTCTCATTTGAGACCCGCCCCCCCGGCACCGCCCCAGGCCCCACCGGCCACCGCACACACATTTTCACGAGAAACGACCGCTCAGTCTAATAAACCTGCATATCTAGGGCCGGGGAGCTGAGAAGCGCACCCAGCGGGCCGGACGATTGGCATCGGGTTGCGGGCAAGAGAGCCCTAGCCCTGGGGGGTGCGCGGTCGCAGGGCCATAACACGGGTCTCCGAGGGTTGGTTCTGCGCTCCGGGTTTCCCCTAGCTGCGGAGCGCCCCCTCTACTCGGAGCTAGTAATACAAGAATACTCTCCGAGGGTTAGTCCGCGCTTTGGGTTTCCCCTAGCTGCGGGGCGCCCCCTCTACTCGGAGCTCGAACTCGGAGCGAATCCTTGACTTTTTGGGGGGGGTGCTTGCTACCTGTTGGAGCACTTGGAGCACTTGGAGTGCAGTCATCAACCTCACATCCAGGGCCGGGGAGCTGAGGAGCGGACCCACCTGCGCTCTTGCTCGCTTTTGTATCCGCCGGTTGTCGTGGCACAGTCTCAGCGACGGCAATGGAGGTCCAGCTTTCTCAGTCGACGAAAAGCTCCGAGGCGCGGCCTCACTTTCCTCGCCCTCCGCTGCTCGAGGCGCAGTCGAGCGACTCCAGCTGCTCGATTCCAGCGAGCGGCGAGGCCGCGAGGCGCGGCGACTCGCAGGTGCCGTTCAGTATTAGGCAACCTTCAATCCACAAGATCTGACCCCTATCCACCCCGCAGGTGCCGTGGAGCGCCGAGGAGGACGCCCTCCTGCACCATCTCGTCCAAACGCTCGGCCATCAGTGGAAGAAGATCGCCGAGCTGCTGCCCGGCCGCTCGAAGAGCTCGACCAGAAACCGCTGGACCCGCATCGGCAAGGCGGCCTTTAAGGCGGCTGGCAGCGCTAGGCCAAGCAGCCAGGGCTACCTGTGCCGCCGCTGCG